GCAAAATATGTTCCATGTGCTCTTTAACAGCCTGACATAAAAAAACAAAGAAATAATACTAAAAATAAAGAAATAATTCAATTAAAAATGCTTTTGAAACAGACATTTTATTGCACCTTGGCAAAATACAACAAAACAGAAAATCACTTTTGTATTCTTAATCACATTTCATTGTCAAGGGCACTTGACATCAGGTCAAGCATTTCTCTTAACATCAAAACAAATGTACATTCCATTGCATTTACAATCTAGGAGGCATAACTACTCTTATTCATTTTTGTCCATTTACTGCTACATATTCCGGTCCACCATTGTGCAGTGAACAATGTTATAAAATATGAAATTATACAAAATAATAAAATACACAATTACGAAGACTAAACTCATTAAATTATGATAGCCAGGGTGTTGCTGTAAACAAGTCAACCAAGCTATTTATAACTATATAGCAAGCTTTTAAAATAAAATGATGGAAATAAATAACATTTCCAGCAAAAGGCATGCTTCAGGACACAAAGTTGTACATTAAAAAAAAAAAATAATAATAAATTCAAAAATAAATAAATAAATAAATACATTAAATAAATAAATAAATAAATAATAATAATAATAATAAAATATTACCCTGTCGGGCCTGGATACTAATAATACAGAACATGTCCTGGGGGAATAAGACAGATTTTTAAAGGAACAAAGGCATGCGTTACAGTACAAAAAGTTTATCCTGTACTGCTGAGACAAATGTCACTTTTCTGAATGGCTGCATCTGTGGGGACACAAACAGTTATAATTAAAACACAAACCAAAAGAAAAGCAGAAACATAAATGAGCATTTACAAAATTCTAATTTGAGGCCACACACTTATCACATGTATTTTAGTTACTCATAAAAACATTGGTGTACTTTATCAGTGATGATTGATAAACAAGCAATAAAGCCAACCGCTACTATGTATATGAGACAGCATAGAGCTCCCTGCTCAAATTAAAAGACTATACCTGTTAGTCTCCCCAGTCAAATGCAGCAATTTTTGATGTGAGACTCAATACTTTTGGGTTGACAGAGTACACTCGCTTTTTCACCTTGGTACCTTTATGTGGATTTATCCTGAAGATGCACCTTTAAAAAAAAACAACAGCAATAATAGTAACAACCTTAATTTCTGCACATTTCTTAACCTAGTGAATGCAGCCTATGACTTACCTTTGCAAGAATTCTAGTGTGGCCCCCAGTTCTACAGGGTAACTGATGTTCAATATGTAGTAGAGGGAAAACATCAGATAGAGTGCCTCAGTAAAACTCAAGAGATGGTCATTCACAATCATTTGGTCTACCGCTACCATGTATACACTGGCTGTCAGTGGGTTCTCTCCTTTGAACAAACAAAAACCAGAAAGCAATAAAATGTACAGAATGAGAATTCTGCAAATTTCATATCAAGTCAACCACAATCAGTAATTTTGTGGATTAAATATTAAGTGATCATATTAAATGATACTCACCACACACTACTATACATGGAGTAGGTGGAAGCTGCTCTGGGCATATATCATTTGGAACACAAGTGTCTTCTACCATCACAAGAAACTGGTCTTGGTCATTTTTTAAATGGGCAAGCAGCGACATCACTGCCCCACAAACATGATCCCATGTTTGGCAACTGGGGTTCTGAATTTATACAACCATACTCCAATTTCCGTTTCTTTGACTCTTCTGGCATACAACAAAGTGGTCTAGTGGAAGTTTTTGCTCTTTTTAAATTGTCAATTCGACAGACTAGTTGCTCTTCTGGCAGTTTTTTCAGTTTTTGCTCTTTTTAAATTGTCAATTCGACAGACTAGTTGTTTAAGGAGAGTCATATCCACTTCCTACAATCTGGGAATTAATCTCATCTCTAAAGGACTTTGGGTATGCAATAATAATTTTTCGGGCTATTTCTGATACATGTTTTTTTGTTGGACATTTACTGACTTCCAGGATTTCAGAAGCAACAATGCGAACCAACTGTCTCCTCTCAGAGCAACTCAGCCTTTCCCCACTTTTAATCTTCCTCATAAAACTTGTTGGCATTTTTTCCCATGGAATAACAAAATCATAATGCCAGTCATGGTCAGAAACCAAAGTTTCAGAGCTAGTGTCACCTAAAAGATAAAGCAATGTCCACATGTTAGAGAATTAACAATAATTCCACTTTTCATGCAGCATTCAGTTCTCAATATTCCAATTTTCTTTGCAAATTACTTTACAGTAAATACAGCAATTACAGTAACACTCAAAGCTACCACTTTCCCACTTCCTAAGAAGTGCTACTCAAATTTCTGCTTCTTCTAAAGACATTATATACACTGCTGAGCCACATTATATACACTTATGACCACGCCCAGCTTAGAGCACATTATATATACTGCTCCGGGTGTGTGTTCACGGTTTGTGTGTGTTCACTGCTGTGTGTGTGCACTTTGGATGGGTAAATGCAGAGCACTAATTCCGAGTATGGGTCACCATACTTGGCCACATGTCACGTCACTCATATACACACCACCAGAGGACCGGTTTTCAGTCAGTAGAGTGCTTGGTGTCTGAATTGGAAAAGCTGCCAATGTATCAAGTTTGATGAAGGACAAACTGATTGCACGGTGCCTCAGAACTTTGACCTGGGAAATGGCTTGCCTTGTGGGTTGTTCACCTGTTGCTGTAGTGAGTGAGTATGTTTCAGAAGTGGAGAACGGATGGCCAAACAAAGAAACACCATCCAGCCATGTGATGTCTGCAGCTCAGTGATGCCAAAAGGGAGCTGCAGGGCCACAGTGTGACAAAACACCAGCAGCAATACAGTGGTGACCAGGGCAATGCGTCACAGCATAGAGTTTATCGCAGCCTTCTGCACATGTGCCTGCATAGCCATACAGAAGGCTGCAATGAACTGTGTGCTGTGACACATTGCCCTGGTCAGCACTTTTGTAGTTGCAGGTGATTTGTTGCACTGTGGTCCTGCGGTCACTGTGAACAATGCGTGACAGTCTCCGCTCCACTCTGGAATCAGTGAGCTG